ATATGTAGAACTAATCGATGATGTGTGAGACGACAAGGCGCCAGAACCTGATAGCGTCACACCTAAGATAATTAAATGTTGTAATGATGGACTTTCACCATTTGCCATTGTTTTTGTAAATATAATTTCTGTATAGTTGATCCTTTCCTGTGGAATGGGTAAAAGGTTTACTAAAACTATATATAACGAAGAGGGCAAGCAAACAGAGATTAATAACTACAGGGATGTTACCATAGGTGATGTTACGCAGAAAATATTTGATACAAATGATATGGAATATATTATATTGAATACCGGATTAACTACGTTTTACTGTATATGAGATGCAGTTTCAGATTCGCAGGTAGGATTTAGTTACACCTTTGTCTTTTGCTGGTTATATCTTTCACGTTTGTCTTGTTTCACAAACAGTGCATCTGTGTAATGGGCTGTGGTGACAACATAATTAAAAATGTGGAATTAATTAAAATAATTTGACATTTTCAGTTGGAGACTGCAATAATACGTATCCCGTGTATTTCTCACCCCTGGTCATTGTGTCGCCTGGATATCCCGACTCTTATGAAAGGTATGTTAAATGTACTGTAAAATCATGTCTATCCGCATGCCGCCGCTCAAAGCTAATACACATGGAGGATAACGAATCAAAGCAAGCAGTACTGCATTTTAATAGGTCACAAAGGAACAAGATAGGTCCTGCTTAACAGGGTTTCATTGTGTAATGCAGTTATACATGGTCGTCTAAGTTTTTATGATGTTACTCACCTGCTCATCCAAAGATTATTTAAAGAACGTATTTGTATATAACTGGGGTGCCTTATTGCAAGCAATGGGCCGAATCGTATCATCCCAGCATATGCACTAATCTTATCAGCATTACCTTGGTAAGAGTCAATAGCCTCATGTTATACCGAGACTATTTATTTTAAAAATTGATTTTTCTTGCGAGTTACAGATAATTCCGTGATGCGTGTTTTTAGCTTTAAATTACCTGGTACTTTCTGACTTATCGTGGGTTTCTCCCTTATTGAGCTGAATATCGAGGAATTGGAAACCAAATAGTTTCAGTGGATTTAAGGACCAAGAGCATATCATGGAAAACATATCAAACACTCAATGGATATGTTCGAATTTTAGGTATCACAGAAATATTATACACCTCTATCCGAAATGAAATACTTATGAAAAGTATCCATGTGGTATTTGTAACTGAAGATGGTGTTCGTAAATATACTATGTATACGTCTATCTTCAATGATTCAGGACATTGACTGAAAGCAGAAGTCTGACAAACAGAACGCGAAATTCCTCATGTATAGCATCCATTTGAAAATTAAGAATTTATCTCGATATAATGTAAACTTTAGATATATCGAAGATTTGAAACTATTCAATAACAGTACAATACCCGATTTTCGTCCAGTGAATTACTTCACAATAGCATGGAGAAACCGCTGAAATCCGATATGGTTTACAGCTGTGAAAAATGATTGGAATGGTCACTTTTATGTCCTTGCCAATGCACGCTGTTTCTTACTGAAAATCTGTTACACACTTGCCCTGTTGCAAATTACTTATCACAGTTGTAAAATGTTCAGACAACACAATGTATATAATGATTAAAATTGTTTCAGTAACTTGGAATGCTTCATAACATTGGCCGATGTAACACATTCAACGCCAGGAAACTTGAAACTAGACATCGTCCACTCGGATTTAGATGGCGTCTACCCACACTGCGAAAATGACTCGGTTACTCTTTATCAAGGTGTGTGAGTAATGTTCAAAACCATGGAACAAGACCTATGCGTTGTCTACTCGGTGCAAAAGACGTTCATTGTAGCCAGGGCAATCCCAAATCTTCCTCTGTAGTGAAATACAAACTGACTGACTATGTGTTGAGACTTGTTAGGAAAATGACTTGGCAAAGGAATGTGAATCTCGATAGATAATTACCGAGAAAGTGCATAACAAACTTCGACCTGTTCTTTACTCTTCTGACACCCCTTAAAATAACTGAAATTCTGTTCATAGGAGCGTTTGACCCGACTTACTCTGTCTAGTTTCTGAATTGTGAATCGTTGTAGATTTGCAAAACTCAAAGTAAAATTCAAGTGTGAGCAAAAAGTAGTGGTTTAAGCTTTGTTCTGTATTTATTTGTGGGGCGTCTAAACGTATGTTTTGAACGTAGGTCATAGTGGGAGCCGCATTGGAGAGTTTTGTGGTGATTCGTCAACAACCCCAGTGGGTCCGTACTACTCCAACGAAATGATAATGAAAATGGTGTTCAAAACCAACGGTGACACAAGTGGTCAGGGTTTCCTATTCCGTGCTTCCCACAGCACACGGAAAGGTATGTGAAAGAGCTGCAGAAGTATACACTCAGACGAAAGTTGAATAACGTATATAATATTCGAATGTTGGGACACCGTGTCGTGTTCTGCAAACGGCAACATGAAGTTAGAAACGGATTCGGGATTCGGGATTCGGGATTCGAATTCCGAATCTGAATATTTTTTTCATATTCGGGATTCGAATCCCGAATCTGATTTTTTTTCAGATTCTGGGTTTTTCTTTTGCAGATTCGGCACTCGGCATTCGGCATTCGGTATTTGGTATTTGAGCTCTTATTATGCATTTCTTTTACACATTTGGAATTCGGAACTTCAGTGTCCTAGTAACTATACTCTTTGCACCTTTATCTGTCAAACGTATCTATCCTCGACGTTGCCGTGCACCCTCGGAGATAGTCAACGGTCCTGAAGCTCTTCCCTGCTTGCAAGCGTCAAATAAGCAGATTCGGGATTCGAATCCCCAACCAAGAATCCTGAATCCGTTTCTAACTTCATGTTGCTCGCAGTTACGTAGCCTTCAGAAATAATATGATTGAATTCGTCAATGTTGCAGTGGTACCACCTCAGTCAGGAAACTGTGGCTCTCTGTTCCTTAATGCGACCACAAATCGACAGTTCTTACAGTCCCCTGGATACCCTGTACGATATCAAAAGTAAGTATTCATTTAGTATTCATTCTTCCTTCCTGGATAACCTGTACGATGTCAAAAGTAAAGATTCGAGTTTACATGTGTATACGTGCGTACGTGTACGAATTCATGATATATATATATATGTATACCACATTTGAAAATAATCCTGTACAATATCTGCGATCAACTTTCGTATTCCTACACTGCTCATTATTCAGTGACACAATAGCTATATTTTCCATTATGTGATTATTTAAAATGAAATCATGGAATAGATAACAAAGGTAGATCTCAGTCTCCATTTACATGGCGATACTACTGAAATGAATTCTTCTTACAGCAAGGAAGACTGTCGGTGGACAATAACGGCTTCTAGTCCAAATATGATGGTGCGCATCGAAGTTATCGACTCGGATATAGAATCTAATGATAGAAGTTACGTAACCTGCAGATATGACCATGTTACGGCTTATGACGGTGAGTTATATGTAGTCTCTACTTCCATGATGAACTGATAACGACCAAGAACAATGTATTGATCCATTGCCTTAATATTCTTTACAACAATCATTAGGGATCAAGCACATTTTTGTATATTCCTGTGGAGTGAAGACTGATCACACAATGTCTGTTTGTCCTTGATCCAGCTACGTTACAGTGGTCTGTAAATAATCGAGCCAGGACCGGACAAAAAAAGTTATTGATTCTATGGGCACCGAGCTACGTTACTGTGTTACGTAACGTTATGTTACGTTAAGTGTCAAGAAAGTCAGCGAGCGAGACCACCCTCTCTTAACTGGCAAGAGTTGCTGATAATCAATTTTCGTTTTGCTCAAGCTGTCATAAGCATATATGTCCACCACAAGGACTAACTATTTCAAATCTTTATCTTTGAAGGATCTTTTTAATAGAATTAGTTTCATTTTGTTATATATATATCAAAGGAAATGTATTGATACATTTTGATAATAGTTTGTATTGTAATAAGTAAGTGATTTTGATTAGGTAATGGCTGTACCCAAATTAGCGGAGTTACCTAAGTCCTTGTCATTCAAAGTATTTTATATGTTGAACATAACGTGAATCCAAGAATATTTGATATTTTAACGTTCGGCTAAATTTAACCTGCCCGCTCAAGTTGCGAAGGTGCTGTAAGTCCACATGGTCGCTGGTATGATGGACCACCTTCAGTTGCTGGCGGTCTAAAGCCTGTCTTTATACAGTGCTGTTCTGACATCTTTTGAGGACAACTTACTAGTTTTCTGAGTGTGATACACCAGTTGTTTCAGTGTCCATTGTCAACAGGTTTTCCTTGTCTAAATATATTCAAATTAATGTATAATAATTGTTCTTGCTATGATATGACTAAAATATAACAATACACCCTAAATCTTCACATATTCTTGTCACTCACTCTAAAACCAAACGATGATGGTTCTTGACATTGTGGAACTGTAAATGAGAGAAAACATCCGATAGTTAATTCCCCTTTTTAACTGATACACGTCATTATTACCCACGTGGTCAACGTATGGGTAGTTGCATACTAATCTCGTACGTCACACAATGTCGTATCGCATTGACCTGTGTCGTAACGACTTGACCTGAGATTCTAACGATTTGATCTCAATTAGGTCACATTGTGGCGGAAATACTTTTTCATTCATAACAAACACGTTTACTCTTCACAATGTTTTCATCTTTATTGTATAAATTGCTTTCGTCACGATATGGCTGAGATATTGCCGATGTGACGTTAAATATTAACTCACTCCCTCCCTCTTGGTTTCCACAAAATGATTGACGATCTATATCAGCCCGGATGTTCCTCCTAACATTATGCCCACATATCTCAGTCACGCATTTGCACTTTCCCGCCGTCGCTTATGCTATACCATCATACTTATTCTTTCCAGGACCATCAATCTTTAATGACACATTATCATCATGGTGCGGCCCTTCACGACCGACCTTTCAGAGCACTGGATCAGCTGTGACAATTCATTTTCATACGGATACATCAACAGCTAAAAGAGGCTTCAAGTTGGCATACTTTGAAACGAATGGTATTCCCTTTATACAGTCATCCGCTTTCCCCTATGTGACGGGGAACAAAATGTCTATTAATACACATAAATTATGAAATGTGAGAGATGTTAAGAGTCAGGGTCACTTTGGAATAGCGTTCTGAACAGCTGACAAAGGTACCTTCAAAACTTCTGATCGTCATAGGTTCAAATTCCAAATTCCCCCGTATTTCGATTATTGGTTTGTCAGCACCAATGGATTCAGAAACTCTTTACCACCTGCGTCGACCTCTCTTTAACAAAATGACACGCTAATATCTTGCTGAAATAATGTCTTTTTCAGAACCATACCATTGTGGGGGAACTCTGAATATCACTACGACTGACATCACAACATTAACATCGCCTAACTACCCTGGACCTTACCCGAAGTAAGAAAATGTAGTGACAAGTAATGATGGTTGGCGCGCAACAGATACTAATGATGGTATATCCGTGAACAACCGGGACAGAACTGATCTTCACTCACGGCTCGTTTACTTGTTTGTCGTTGTAGCCAATCCACGCACGTGGTTTTAATCACCGGATTGTCTGGTTCAGACTCGATTGATTACAGACTGCCGTCACATCACTGGAATAATGCTGAGCGGCGTTACACAAACATACAAACAAAACTTAATGTTCCAGTGGGATAGTAAACGTGATATATGGCAACACTATTCGAAGTTCTAAATGTATACCTTTCTCAATATACATGTATTTTATATTATAACCATCAGTTGTGTGAACTATCTTATGCATCACCATGTGGTATATCAGTCATATGACGCTTGTGATTTGTATTCAGTTTAATCGTCAACAACATAAATAGTCGATAATGAAAATATCAGAAATAACTTCACCTCACAACATAGCCTACGAAAATAGTCACAAAACAAAGCCGATCAACCACTGCCAGTGCATGGACAATACAGGCGCTGGGCAAGGGAACTGGACCCATTCAGCCTATTACATCACTACTAGTAATTTAACAGTTCTTCATCAAGATTTATGCTGTGCAAGTGTACAAAAATATCTATACAACTTAACTTAAACTACTTTAGGAAAGTTGATGCAAATGAAATGCTAACAAATCTTTTTTCCCAAAAGGATCTAATCCAGTTGGTCTTGACCAACAGATATCTACATGTTGAGATGATTAAACTGTAATGGTAAATAATCCTGTTTGTATTATCTTTAAATTAATACTTTTAAGTTAAAGTTTTTAAATGACCAACTCCTTGAATGGTGTATCCCGCTTTAGACAACCACTGAGCATGACTCATTTAACGCTCTAATTGTCCTAGAAAGGGACATGCTCAAAACTGCAATGCGAAAGAACCCGTTGACCCGTGGAAAATTGAAATTATCCCCCTGACCATACAGACTTTCGTGGACTTGTTTATATTTTTGAATTTTATGCCCGACTTTTCGCTACAGACGTAAAATAAATAACATAACACATGATGCTGAAGCTACTTTCTCTCTGACAAACAGCTGAGTTGAGAACATTGTGTTGAGATTACGAACTTAAAGAAAATAGAAAACAAAGATATTGATCTTCTGTACTCAAACACACAATGCTTGTGGACCTATCAACAAATTCCATATAGCCATAAATGAAAATGTTTGTTTTCTTGTAACTTCATAGCATTTATGCGCTTACTATGCAGTATGAATATCATATTCTTTTTGCCATACACGACATTGTGAACGAGTGAATCTCCTTCACCTGTAAGTATTCTTGTGTGCTCTGATGGCATAAACCAGTCTGTTACGATTGTTATATCATTCTTCTATATTCAAGCATACAGTGCATGTGAAAGTTTACATCTATCTACGAATTTCATATAGCCATAAATACAAATATTTGTTTTATTGTAATTTCATAGACTCTATGCGCTTACTATGCATCATGAATATTATAAAAATATTTGGTATACACGACATCAATGAACGAGAAAATCTCCTTTACCTGTAAGTATTCTTGTGTGCTCTGATGGCATAAACCACTCTGTTATGATTGTTATTTCAGCCACGAGGAATGCATCTGGACCATACATGCTCCAGCAAACACGAACATTGAAGCTAAAGTCAGGAACACATTGATTGAATCAACATCCCAATGTACATACGATTTCCTGGAAATATACGATGGTAATTATTCTTGAAACCATTTGATAATTGTAACATAGGAATATACCAATACTCCAATTGCATATGTGTCATTTGAACAAGATGTAAAGAAAGCGTGCTACAGAAGTGGGAGGGAAGGGAAGGGCATAATGTTTTAAACTCTGGTGTTCACCAAGACGTGTTATTGTTGCTTTTCATCTGACAGTTTGCAGACCGCGACGGTATCACTGAAAATACACATTAAAACAGTGTAAACGTATAATCATAAAATTTAAACATACAAATGATACTCATATAAGTTGTTTTATGAATTCTCGATTTGTATTAACGCGTTTTTTGCTCAGGAGTATCATCCAGTTCATCAAGTGCCGGGAGGTTATGTGGGGATGACGACACTGACTACATAAGTTCCGGTCACGTCATCACCGTCAGGTTTCATTCCGACTCATCAACCAGACGCAAAGGATTTCAAATGCAACTCAAAGCGGGACACTTTAGTGGTAAGAAACGTGGATGGGCAATTCCAACACTAGACAAATATGATGTTGTATGTAACCTCTGCAGTACACAGGACTGGGAAGTGATCCTTATATTGCCCTTTTCCCTTTGTACTCAAAGGCAGAAGTAGCCGAAGAATGTTCTTGTTTATAGCAATAGAATGTTTGAAAGTACGCCTTTCCACTTTTGTGCATATTACTTAAGATACATTGAATTGTCTAGTTACATACATACATGCATGCATGCATACATACCTAACATACTAACATACATACATACATACATACATACATACATACATACATACATACATACATACATACATACATACATACATACATACATACATACATACATACATACATACATACATACATACACGTATCTAAGTATTGTGTCATATTCTATTTCAGTTTCTGAGACCGAGGAGTTTTCAGCTTCCTACAGTAGCAAGTACATATATTCTCCGAATTACCCATTTAATTACCCGAGGTGAGTGCTCGAGTTATACACACAATATACGATCATATGTCCTTTCCGCGATTCCGGTTATTTATGACGACTATCAATACCATGTCTAAATACGAGGAAGGTAATCAACATTGGTCATCCCGTTTTTTGACAAGATATTGGCAAGCCCGTCGTAAACTAGTGTTGTGTCTGGAGGTATAGGTGTAGGTGTGATATAATATAAATGAGTGAGTGAGTGAGTTAATATTTAACGTCACATCGGCAATATCTCAGCCATACCGTGACGAAAACAATTTATACAATATAAAGAGAAAACGTTTTGAAGATTAAAAGATTAAAAGAATCACAGATATGAATAAAACTAGCGAGCAAAGCTAAAACATTTCAATTAAAGAGGACAATACTGTATAAAACACGGGCTATAGATCGCCAACAACTGAAGGTAGATCACCATACTAGGAACCATGGGGACTTACATTACTTTTGCTACCTGCATGGACCCCAGCTGGATTTACACCATCCCTTCAGCCGCTGGCGATTGTAGGAAAATGTACCCGGCAGTTAATATAAATGAAATTCTATAATGATATTAATATTGAAAAGAATAAGAACATTCCCCTGATCATCAATCCTGACAACAGTACCAGCTATATGACGGTTTCCTGTACATAACAGAGTCTGGACAAGACCATCCAGTGATTGACATCATGAGCACCTGTCTATTGGGAAACAATGTCATGCATCAACCAGGTCAGCGATCCAGACCTCCCGATGCCGTTGTACGCCTCTTACGACAAACATGGGTTACTGAAGATCAATTCTAACCCGATTCATCACGAGAGTGAAACTTTACTACACGTTAGAAATGTCATGACGTCGCGAGTAGAACAAACACAAAATTCATCACTGGTGAAAGGTTTACATATCATCTACGTTCACTGTTTCATCAGATCGTATGACCACAATACGCCTGTGTTCTATGTTCCAGTGACGCTGAGGTTGGCTGGAAGATCACCGCGGATGAATACTACATTGTCAAAGTCAACGTTATGGAGTCTAGACTCGAAAAGTCCTTCGGCTGTGCCAATGACTATGTGGAGGCATTTGACGGTAAGGGATGGGCCATTGGGTATTTTTTTTGTTGATGTTCTTCGACAATAACTTCTTTTTTAATCATCTGGCAAGCAATTTCGGATACAGTTTTTTTTCTTTACATAATATACAAGCATCTCACAAACATCGAATGGTCGAAGTGAATACATTTTCTGTATTCTCTGTGTTGCAAAGTGCTTGTGTTATAGTAAATGGTGTGCGTGCGTGCGTGCGTGCGTGCGTATATGAACATTCCATGTATAAAGTTTCTGTGCCACTATTGTCCAGTCCTGAAGTTATGATCTTTGTGGCTCCAGTATAACTATCGGATGTGAGTGGACACGTCATTATAGAACACGTGTCTGCACTGATTTGTAGAAAATATATAACTTGTTGTTTTAAAGGGCCGAACTCGAATGCACCTTCACTTGGTCGCTGGTGTGGAAAGAGTGAGCCTATCAAACGCAGTTCTGGTTCTGTTATGTTCCTGAAATTCAAGTCGGATTCATCTGGCGTTGATCGTGGGTTCAAGATAGAGTATACCAACGAATTTAATTATCATTCTGGTAAGTGAAGGACAAGTTGAATACACGATTTATAACCACATCGAATTGAACAGACTTTAGCATAGGTCATTACAGTAAATGAATCAGTGTGTAAACATGGTGGCTGGGTGGGGTGATTTGGACGAGGGAGTAAGTGACATAAGCATCAGGTGCTTGCGAAGATTCCAAATATGTCTCTTGCTTGTATGTTGTTGATGCAGTTAGGGCCACATCCCAGGGGCTGTCTGGCCAAAATCGTCCCCTTCCTTGACTTATGCCATCTATCCCTTTCACTTGCTTGCGATTTGTTAAGGCTGCCACGATTGATCAGGATACGCTAAAAACACGAACGCTTGATGTCGTCGCTGTAAGATGGTGATTCATGTACGTTGTAGGAGACGTTCATAGACAGCTTTTAGCTCAAGTTACCTATGATGAAGGAAGGGAGTTGTTCGATTATTATGACAATCATTACTGCACGGAATCCTTCTGACTGCATTTATTCCAAATTAATTAAATCAAAGAATAACAGTTTCTTGACCAATTTGAATACAGTTTGTGGTAGAATTAAGCCACAGATTGAAATATTAAATCAATTAGAAGCTAACTATCTGCAGAGTAATACCGTTGAAGCTAAATGAATTGCTGAATACCTTTTATCTTTCTGCTGTTATGCTACACTGAGATTTGCAATGTGTGAATTCATTCACGGAAATACTTTAAATGGGGATTTGAAAGAATTCGTATTACATGTCTGTTGAACTGCAATCGATAATATACTTTAGGTATTTCACTGCCTGCTAATTGTATAAACATCAGAGAAAGACTGTAAGACGTATATAATGACATACTTGTCAGATCGAAGTAAGGGTAGGCAATCTAATTAATGTGTTGCATCTGCTTGTCAGTAGTTTTCTGACTATTAATTTGTGAGTGAGTGAGTGAGTGAGTATGTTTTTACGCCGCTTTTAGCAATATTCCAGTAATATCACGGCGGGGGACACCAGAAATGGGCTTCACACATTGCACCCATGTGGGGAATCGAACCCGGGTCTTCAGCGTGTCGAGCGGACGCTTTAACCATTAGGCTACCCCACCGCCCCTATTAATTTGTGAAGAACGGATATAAAGGTACTGTATACAATTGGTAGAACTATGGTTAGGAGCCAAACCAAAAATCAATCCATGGATACATTGTTAATTACAACTCGTAAATAATTATTTAAACTCGTGATTTTGTACATAAACTTTGCAATGTCTTATTGGGTATTACCTAATGTTTCTGTATCATCATATTTTATAGGCACCCATGAAGGGCCACCTCCTCGTGGTGGGTGCTGGGTCACGCCAAGCGCCCTTCACCCCCGTTGTGGACCCGGGGGGATATATGGTCCACCAACCCGTTTGCCGTGGGTTGCGCCCCTGTGTCGGTGGAGGACGGTAGCCTGGTGGTTGAGGGCAATAGGATCCTGGAACCGTGTTCCTGTTGCCCAACACACCACTTCGGCCCTTACTTCACCTAGACGGGTGGTAGAACTGGCCCGGTTCTACCAATCGGCTGGTCACGCCGTGCCCTGCGCATGGAATCATTCAAATTTATATCAATGTACATTTATATAATGTTGATATTGAATGTTGTATTTCACAAATATATTATTATATCTATTTGCCTAGAGTCCTATGCCAGAAGGCGGTGGCTCATGGGCCAATCTGGTGATGTTGGACGCTGATTACTATATGTTTCTAAATAGTTGTTATGGGCAGGACCAGCCTGACAATGAATTTAGTAAACAAAATGTAGCTATTCAAGTCATATTTGCTGGAGTATAACATCCCTGTATCCCTGGTGTTTGCATTTTGGAGACCCAATGCAGTTAGACATTGTCCTTGTTGACACTCCGTGGTGGGTAGGGAGCTGGGATGCTGAACCATTTTTGCTTACATTATGAATCCCCAATCATCTGGTTCATCAAGAAATGAAAAGAAGAGACGCATAGAAACTGTTGATGACTCTTCTAGAACTGTTCATTCTAATGCTGATTCTTGGCCTCGTTTCCTGGTAGTTGAAGCTGTTGATTTTCTTCCCATCAAATTAAAACCCTTTGCTATTTCCAAGGCAGTATCTGGGATTTGTGGGGAAGTGAAAATGTCACCCGTCTCCGTAATGGTTCCTTCTGGTGGAATGTGCACGGAGACAGCAATCACTCAATCTGTTATCAATCAAAACATTTGCCAATATCGAGGTTGCTGTGTCCGTGCACAGAACTCTCAATTCCTGTCGTGGCATTATTCGAGATCGAGCTCGCTGTCTGTCTGATATGTCGGAAGACGATATTGC